GGCCATGCATCATCATGGAGTTGGTGAGGCGCTCCGCAATGGGGCACTGGGCCTTGCGGAAGCGCTTGGCAGCGTAGCGCCCTGCACTGTGGGGCAGGTACTTGGCATACTTCTCCTTCACTGCAATGTAGTCCTGTAGGGAAATGTCAATGATCTGCACGTCGTCCGTGCTCCACTTCCCGAAGAGCTTGATGTCAGGGGTCTCGGCCACCGCGGGAGTGGCTGGGTCCCAATCCATCACCCTGGACCTGAACGGAAAGCCGACGAGTCACAGTATTGTAAATCTTGAGTGTAAATCAGTCCTGAGACTTGTGCTGATCTAAGCTACTAAAAAGAGGAAGATTTGTCCTGGAGAAATGAAAAATATTTGTAAAAAGTGATAGTACTATAGGGCATGGACCTCAACCTGGGGAAAGATTAAGCTTCACCTAGTACTCTTAGGAGATATCTATTTCAATGGATGTATAGACCTTCCTTGGCTTTTGATTGAAAAGATGTTCGTTTGAAAGAAAGAGTGGAGGCTAGGGAAAACAGAAAGATTTTGGCATTTCAAAATGTGCAAATTGTCTTCCGAGGCAGGGTAAGGTTGGTATCTATCAGAGCCCATTTCCAGGACTTGAGATTAAAGTGAATTGATAAGTATGCTCATATCATGGTAACCATCTGGATCCATGAGAATGGATCAGTGGTATGTTGCAATGAAGAGATCAGCTGAGCCTGGACATGTTTCATCAGCACTGCTGACCTTGCATGCCCAGATGCATGGATAAGTACAAAAAGGCTGGGAGTTGCGAAGATCCCTGATTAATTGACTTGGCCCCAAGTAGGGCCTATGGCTAAATGAAAAGACCAGTTGATATGGAACACAAGAAACTGTTTGGTCTCCTGAGTTGCAGCTGGTATCCATTTGGACCTCAGCACTGATGGCTGGAGAAAAGTTGACCAGAAGCCAGGCAGATGACAATATAAAATGTTTCATGTTAAGAGATTATTGTTGATTGCTGAAACCTGATGACATATTCTTGACTGGACTGTGATTATGGATGCAGGTGCTTAAAATATCCAAATGGAAACAGAAGATTCTAAAGAAAAGAACATGCCTGTTTCTTCAAAGTACTGGTTTGATAGGGATGGGCAAATTAGAAATTTTCTATCTAAAATGGGGACTATTAAGACATAAAGCATGAGGTTTCTGGCTTATACACTTTCATGAATATAGTTATTGTTCAAAGTTTGTTTATTATTTAAATTCTTCAAATATGACAGTTATTGCCTAGAGAAGTCAGAGGGGTGGTCTATGGTATTAAGGATCTATTAAGGATACGTTGTTCCACAGGAGAAGGATGGGCAATCTCCTCCTGTGTGATTAATTGCCTCTGAAAACCCACTGTAGGGTCAGCTAATGGTTAGTTCTGACTTAAAGGTACACACAACAACATACATTAACTTACTTTGCCATGAAGATTGGCAGAAATATAAGAATAGGGCATGTTAAACTATTCACAAGGTTACTGGCTAATCTCACCAATCTGCAAGGGGATTGGTTAGCTTAGACATTAATTTGAGCAGATCCAGAAGTAGAAAGAAAGAAATGTTATTGCCAGAAAAGAAGAAGCAAGAGAATGTAATGTGTCATTCAGGACCAGAGGATCTTGTGCAGGCCAGTGTGGGACCTACTAGAGCAGTAGACACAGCAGAGAATCAGAGAGCTGGCATGAGATGAAGTGGACCTTGAGACTGCTATAACAAAGGCTAAGAGCCTTTTACTCAGGTTTGTTGGAGGACTGGGGTAAGAGTTGGGGGTGGCGGATGGGGGAAGGGAGAGCCAATATTGATAGGACTGAGAACTCTGTAACACTGGTCTAAATCCACAACGCTCAAGACTAAGGCTCCCATAAGCACATTTCAGAAGCTGTCCTGACTGCATTCTGCTAATAATCTGAAGTTGCTAGCTTGCAAGCTTTCATGAATATTTTATTGCTGTTGTTATGTGCTGTCAAGTCAACTGCAAGACATAACAACCGTCCGTAAATAGTTCTAAACTCTGCCCTATCCTGAGCCAGTAACATTGTCTCTGACAAACCTATCACTCATTACCAGAGTTACTGTGACAGTCCATGTCATCCAGGGTCTTCCACTCCTTGCTATCCCTCCACCCTTCCAAGCATGATGTCCTATTTCAAGAATTGGTCCCTCCTGCAACATGCCCAAAGTATGTGAGACAGAGCTTAAGAATCCTTGCCTCCGAGAGTTAACTTGGTTTCACTCTGTCCAGGACAGACCTTTTTTTTTTTTATCTTAGTAGTCCATGATATGTTCAATATTGTTTTCCAGAACCACAACTAAAATGCATTGCTTCTTCTTCTATCATCTTTAGCCACTGTCCAGCTTTCTGAGGCATAGTAATTTGTTTTAAAGACCATGGCCTAGATCAGTTGTACCTTAGTCTCTGCACTGACATCATTGCTCTTCAGCACTCTGGAGAGGTCCCTGACACCACATTTTCCTAATGTAATTTGTCTTTTAATTCCTGACTGCTGATGCCAAGAATGTTGATTGTGGAACTGAGGAAGCTGAAATTGTTAACAATCTCAATCTCATCTACACCTGTCATTGTGCTGCCAGTTGGCCCAGTAGTAAGAATCTGTTTTCTTGATGTTAATCTTTAATACTTAAGGAAAACTGCAGTCCTTGACCCTCTCCAGCAAACATCACAGGTCCTCCTCAGTTTTGTCAAGCAAGGCTGTGTCATTTTCATAAAGTGGGTTGCAAATGAGTCTTCCTCCAATCCTGATGCCACATTCCTCCTCATAAAGTCCAGCCTTCTAAATGATCTGTTATGTATATAGATTGAAAAGGACAGGATACATCCCTGACTCTGGCTCACTTCTTTTCTGATTCTGAACAATACAGTGTTTTGTTGCTCTGTTCTGATAACTGCTTCCTGGTCCAAGTATAGGTCTTGCAAGTGCACTAGGGTATTATCCAAACACTGAAACTTGGCCAAGATAATTCCCAAGTATTGACTCCTGGAAAAATATCACTTAAAATAAGACAAGGAAAAAAGCATAACACTGATGTGTCATATGTGATAATGGTTGACCATGGTGAACACCGTTTGGTGGAGCTCCCCAATTAAAACAAGCTTGAAAGCAGGAGTGGCATCCACTTCCTAAATAGCTTGCCTCCAGATGTGGAGAATGTGGAGAAATGATGAAAGTTATACAAGTGTTCAGGTCTTTCATTCATGGAGTGGCTATAATTTGCCTATGAATCAATGGCACCTGACAACAATAACAACAGAATAAAAACTGTACCAAACAAATAATATACTATAACAAACATGATTAATTGCCAGAATTCTAAGTTATTTCAACATTAGGAAAAAATTCTTGTAATTCTTATAATCCATCTCATAGAGGGTCTTCCTCTCCTGAGCTGTTCCTCCACCCTCCAAAACATGACATCCCCCTCCAAGGACTGGTCCCTCCTTGCAACATAGCCAAAGGCTGTCAGATGAAGCCTCACAATGCTTGCCTTTAAGAAGCAACCTGGTTTATCCCTCTCCAGGATGAACCTGTTCATTCTCTTAGCAGTCCATAGTATACTCTTCTCCAACACCACAGCTCAAAGGCATAATTCTCTTTCTATCGTCCCTAGTTATTGTCCAGCTCTCTGACATATAGCAAGTGATTGCAAAGACCATGACCTGTATCAGGGACACCTTAGTCTGCAGACTGACTTTGGAGAGGTCTCTAACAACAGACTCTCCCATTTCAATACATCTTTTAATTTCCTGGCTGCTGGTGCCAAGAGTGTTGATTGTGGAGCCAAGCAAAGTAAAGCTGTGAACAATCTCAATCTCAATCTCAACCTCTTCACCATCTATCATGATGTTGTCAATCAACCCAGTGGTAAGAATATTTGTTTTCTTGATATTGAGCTTCAATCTATATTGAAGGCTACAGTCCTTGACCTTCTGCTTCAGGTCTTCCCATTTCAGCAAGCAGGGTTGTGTCATCTGTATAACACAGATTGTTGATGAGCCTTCCTCCAATCATGATGCCACCTTTCCCCTCTTAGAGCTCAGTCTCCCGGATAATCTTTTTACATATCAGTTGAAAAGGTGTGGAGATAGGACACATCCCTGGCATATACCCTTTCCAACTTTAAACCATACAGTACTGGTGTAATGGTGGTAGGTGTGTCAGAGACAGTGAAATTGGCACAGGATAAATAGGGGTTTAAGGTTGTTGTATATAGGGTCGCTATGAGTTGGAGGCAACTTGACTTCACATAACAACAACAACAAATCTTACAATAATAATGAAGAAAAAAGCTAGTTTAGATACATGTTGGAAATGGGATTGTACAGTCAGTCAATACTCATTCTTAAAGATAAGCTCCTTGAGAAACATAATGAATCATGTTTAATAACAAAACCATAGAATAATTCTCAATAATAATATTAGGAAAAAACACCAGCCATCTCTGGTGGCCTAATAACAAGTAGCTGTTGTGCAATCCTGAAAACACATAGTTCAAAGGCCAACAGCTGCTCTATGGGAGAGAGATGGGTAATCTCTTCCTATACGATTGTTTCTGAAATTTTTCCAGAGGGTCGGCTATGGGTCAGTTCCAACTTAACATTACATAACAACATTATGGGAGAAAAATACCTACTATCATCATTAATGATAATGAAATTAATAATTAATGATAATTATTAATTATTAAGGATGACAGATATGATGCTTTCAAATTGTGGTGCTGTAGAAGCGTCTTGAACAAGCCATGGACTGCAAAGAAAACAAATAGGACTGTCTTGGAAAGCATGAAACCAAGTTTCTCCTTGGAGGATAGGATTTTGAAGCTACACCTCACATACTTTGGGCATGTAGCTAGGAGAGGCCAGTCCTTGGAGAAGGACTTCATGATCAGAAGAATGGAGCGAAGGCACAGGAATGGAAGACCCCAGATGAGATGCATCGATACAGTGACTGGGGTAATAGGGACTGATGTGTAGGAATTAGTGAGACTGGTTTAGTACGGGGCAGGGTTCAGAGCATGCTGTTCATCTTGTTGCTATGGGTCACAGGCACCTCGACAGACATAACAAAAACAATTATTAAAAAGTAATTTTATGCTCAAAGTATGTTAATCCAAATATATATAAACAAATTGGTTCTTAGTTGCTATACTTTTATGTATTTAGCATTTAAAAATAGTGCAAAAAAG